TTCCTGCTGTCGAGGAGAGAGGGCGTTGACTAAGGAGAAGAGACAAGTGATTGTGAATAGATGCTTGTAAACTATTTTTTAAGAGATAGAAACTTAATAAGAGCATTTCATTTTTAGAACAGTGACTTGAGTGATAGTTAATGACAAGCAGTGATTGATTTACCGTGTGTGAGGAGTAAAGCAAAGTGTACTTAAGCGCCCAGGGAAAGGTCACGACCCAAAACAGGCAGAGCCAGGGTTTTCGTAGGTCTTGTGTTCCCAGCCTGTCCAGTGCCACCTGATATCTGCAGGCCTGGGAATGGCCTCCCTCTCTGTGTTCCTAGCAGTGTTGCATGGCGCTTGGCACTTGGTGGGATTCAGTAAATATTTACGGAATAATTCCCTACCAACTCTTTTGTTTATTGTTAGTAACACAAAAGTAAAACAATAGAAATATCAGGCTTTTAAATGTGTTGGCGTTTGCAGCCACAGTTTCTCCTTAGGGTGGAACCAGTACACTTGTTAAGAAAGTTGCAAGACAGCCTCAGGGCCAGGAGCTCTTTATTTGTCATATATGTAATATATATCATACCATATCCTACGCTATCTGTAGACTTTATTGTATATTATTATAATAGTATATAATATTCCGCATATTACCTAGTCTGTTCTGATGTGAACCTACACTTTAAGTATAGTTGGCAAAACGATATGTAGGCTGTATAAAGTTTTTTACTGCAAATTCCAAGAAAGCAGTTATTGTTGTTTATGCTTTTCTCCTGGAGTTTAAACAATCTGTGTTTTTCCTTTTTCTGTAGAACTTTCTGTTACTTGATGAGATAACACAGTGCAACCCTCAGCTGCCATCAGATGGTAAAATGATAGTGGACGTGCAAGATTTCACTGCTTCTTGGGATAAGGTAACACATCCTGTGCACCAAGATTGTGACTGCTAAAAGACAACAGATTTACTGGAGAACTTTGAGGTTTCACACCTGGTGCAAAATGTGACCTGCTAATTTACTGAAAGTATGTTATAAAAATTCTCAAAATCAGGGGTAAGGTTTGCAACTACTGGAGATTAAGTGTAAAATCAGCCTAAAACATTTGACATGTTGCTCTCTCTCTCATTTTCAAGAGAGCTTTCAAAGTATTTGCACATTTTGACCTTAAAGTCCATATGTTTGTAATGTTAGAATTTATATTGATCGTAGAGAAAAAATGCTGCAGTATGGAATGGGTTAACTAACAAATATACAGCCAGTTGTTACAGACCAGAGGCTTTGGGGAATCAGTGTACATTTTTTGCCTTGATGTTCTCAGATCATCTTATTACATACTGAGGCCATGATTTAGGTCTTTGCTTTGGGGCAGGGTGGGGCTCCCCCATACTAAGCTTCTCGATGGTTCTGGCTACTTTGGTGGCAGCCAGGGATGGGGAGGCGACAGCAGGAGAGCATAGTGAGCACCAGTGATTCCCAGTTGAAGGGTTGCACCGTGTGACAAGCTGACAGGGACAACTGGCAGTTTCTGAACACTTGGTTTATTTATGACGTTCAGGCAAACAGGAAAAAGAGCAGGGTCCGCTCTCAAAACTGCACACCTAGTGCAGCCCCCTTTTCTGATGACTGAAACATTCCTGCCTCCCCGGTTCAGTGGTCCTCTGTGGATCACCCAGTAAAACAGAGCCCATACCGCAGGAGAGGGCATTCCATGTGGGGAATTACTTAGGCAGAGGATGAAAGACGGGGGAAGAAAAAAGCAGAAAGGGCAAAATGGTGGTGCTGGAGACAGCCCAACCCAGAGATTAGCAGTGGTGGGAAGCCGCTCCCACCCCCAGGGCTGGAAGGACTCAAACGAGGTGGTGCCTCTACCAGAGGGTCCACCATCCGGTGCAGAGCCCAGGAGCTCGACTGCTGGTGGGAGTGGAGACCACAGTGCAAGTGTCCGGACTATGCAGACTCCTCGTGTGTATTCATGCCTGTCACACTAAGTGTGGTGCCACTTGCATCCTGTTCACCTACTTCTGGTTCAGTACCTGCTTCCCCACCAACGAAACAGTAGTATGCTCCCAAATAAATAAAAATATACCCCCTTAGCTTTCACACATGGAAACTCTAGCAAGGTACCTTATCTGACCTGATAGTTTCTCCTACCTTAATATTGTAGATTTACCTCCTGGTTGGTATTTCTCATCATAATACACTCAAAGCATTTATGAAAAGCACCATTAAAATTCCATTACGATGGCAACTCTTTGTGAATGGTAACACATACTTTGTATGAAACATTAACAAAATCTCTTATGCCAAACTATGCAGCATTATAAAATGAGCTGTTTTGTTCTTCTTGCAAGAACGTGATAACATGCTCTCAGACTCTGTGTAACTTGCAGTGTAGTACAGAACACCCTATTCTGTTGTCCTGGCCTTGCCTATGGAAGGCTGTGCCCTGTGCTCGGTCATTAGTAATTAGGGCCTCTCAGGTTAGGACATGGGTGAAACAGCCCTCGGGAGGGGGTGTGGCACAGACCTTGGGGATTTTTGGAGAGAAGCGGAGTCTGAATGAATCCCCTGCTGGGTTGGGAGGCTGGAGATAGACATGGGCTTTCTAAGCTGCTCCGCTATACAGCCAGGTGAGCAGGTGGCAGAAGGTTTCAGGGACCCAGGTCTCATTCATGAAATGATGGGACTTGGTCTCAGTCTTTAAGGTTTAAAATAAAAGGTCCTGTGGGAGCCTCCAAGGGACAGGGATTTCAAACTGTGTCTGGCAGCAGAGTGGGGCTCAGCTGATGATCCTGTGTAATCCGCATGCCCTGAGCCTGGATAACCAGGAGAGGACAGGCCTCAGTACCATGGCCTGTCGAGTGCTGCCCCCTCCTGGTCACTGCCGAGCAGTGCCCGATCCTGAAGCCTGAACAGGGAGGGAACTCAGTGTCTGGTCCTGACACACTGTGAGGTGTGGTGACAGGGAGCTGATGTTTGCAAGTGGCCCACTGTTTTGTCGTCTTAACTGAGTGAAAAGTGGTAAAATAAGAACACTAAGTGTCAGAGAAGAAGAAGGGCAGAAGCTTAAATGTTTCTCATGTATTAAAGTCTAGCTTCTTATTGATAGATGTGTAATTCCTGTAACATCTGGGGCTAGTGTTTTGGTGATGAAGAGCCTCAAGCCTGAACAGGGAGGGAAGTCCATGTTTTTTGCCCTGACAAACTGAAGGGCTGCAGCAGGAAGCTGTGTTTGTAGGTGGCTCATTATCGTGCAGTCACAACTGAGTGAAAAGTAGCAAAATAAGAATCCAAGTGTTAATCAAAAAGAAAGGAGTGGAGTAGCTTTTAAAAAATGTCTCGTGTTAAAATATGGGGCTAGTTATTTTGATGATTAAAAATAATTATTTTTTCAGTAGCTGCCTGTATCTATAATCAGTTCAGTTCTTTCCAGAGAAATTTTCCATTTCGAACATTATCCAGACTTCTTATCCAGACCCTGTGCTTTTATTAGTCTTTTGGGCATTTTACTTAATCACACGTGACCACTTTTTTTTTTTTTTTTAACATTAGCAGTTAAGATTTTTTTTAAACACTTAGTGTATGTAAAGAAATACGTAAGTCTAAGTCTCTTTATGATAGAATTTACAGTTTGTTCAAGAACATGACCTGTGTTTGGCACGATGAGTACTTTATTCTTTTCCTCTGTGTTGGCTTGTTTGCTGTGGCATATGTACCTCCATGGTTTGTTTATGTTTTTGCTTTTTTACGATAGAAGTACTCTGTTGTCCCTATTTACCCAGAATAGGTAATGCATTAAGAGGTACAAAACGGAGGCTTTATCACTCTAACCTACTGTGTTATACATAATCCTCCCGCCCCTTTTTTTTTTTGGTTGTTAGTGTTAAATTGAATCTCTGGTTTAATTGGAGCCTTGACTGCCATTTATGTGACTTTATTTATCAAGAGCAACTTTATCATATAAAGTGCCCCGTTGCTTGCTGACCGTTACTGAGATTCATTCTTTATCAAGTGAAAATAGAGATGAGTGGATGGAGATGTCAAATTCTTAGTAGAGAACCGGGCATGATATGTACTTACGCTGCCACCCTGTGGAGAGGAGTGAAGTAAACAACACCAATGGCTCTAATGAAAACTTACAAATGATTAAAAACCTCCCATACTGGATATTCTATTAATTATATTATATTAATAAGCTAGTGTGCACCATGGAGTTTGCATTTTGAGGACGGGCCTTGTCATTTCAACTGCTTAAATTCTGTGGGTGTCTAGAGCTGTGTCCGTATGAAAATCTGGCCAAAGACGTAGGCTTCCTAAAGGCAACTAAAGCTGTTTCAAAGGTGTTTTTTGATGAAAAGGCCCCCCAAGGACTCACTATCTTAAAATAGGAAGGACGACAATGTGGGTTATATTAGCATATCAATGACTCACGTTATTTTCTCTACCTTCTGAAGTTCGCTTTTTTATTTTATTGAAATGAACCGTTTTATAAACTTAAATTTGCAGGCATCAGAAACCCCAACTCTACAAGGCCTTTCCTTTACTGTCAGACCCGGTGAGCTGTTAGCTGTGGTTGGACCCGTGGGAGCAGGAAAGGTAAGTTATGATGCCTTTCGGCAGCTTGATGCAATGCCGCAGCCCCTGTGAAATTCTCAGAGTCGAGCCCAGAGCTGTAGGTAACACAGTTTGAATTGGGTGTATCTCGGACAGCATTTCTCTGTTGCATGGAACATTAGTTTTGCAAGAAGGTTCCATGTCCAAATAAACATGGATAAATGCCCGTTGTGTTTTCCTTCCTGGTGCTTCATGTTACACAGTTGGGAACTGCTTGTCGGGACTTTGGGCGTCTCAGTGAAGGAAATGATTTGTGTGACAGCTGTTCAGGACAGAATGAGACAGTGGGGACTTCTTTCTGTCACAGTGGGCCCTCCAGGAGGTCTGGAGGTTGTAATGGCTCTTCCGGGAAGCTTTGAGCATTTCCTCATGTGACTTGACGTGGTCCCGTCAGTGCACGTGTAGTGAATGTGCAGCCATGTGCTGGAGCTAAAGATACAGACGTGAGCAAGCCCCAGACGCCTCTGCCCTCCAGAGGCAGCCATGTTCTGGGGCGAGACAGATACGCAGGCAGATTATTTCAGCCCAGTGTGGTGAGCGCTGTGATGCTGTGGACACAGACGTGTGGACACGTCACCTCTGTGTGTTGTTAAAGATTTGAAGGACATGTGCATATGCACTTGGTCTGAAACAACAAAATACAGGAACCTAAACGTGGGATATATACACGAGGGGGTGATGATTTAATTTATGATGGAGTTTTGCTCTTGGGACACGGCTCACTTCAGAGTTTTTTTAAAAAGTAATCATCTTTCGATATATTATTCATAGAAAGCTTTATTTAAGAACAAGTGTTTGTCAAGTAAAGGATACCCGGATGCAGGAACAACTGTACTAAACATCAGATACATGAAACTACATTTCCTGCTGGGCTGCTCTGCTAGTTAAGGATGTTAAACATTCTAACTTAGTCTTTGCTGAGTAGAGCCTTTCAGTTGCGGGAAACTCTTGGGCAGTTTAGATTTTCGTAGTATTATATTAATATTCCTTATCAATCATTAGTGTACATTGACCAGTAGTGTTATTTTCAATTTTTTTGTCTCAACTGCCACAGCTGTACTTTATTCTCTTTTAAAAGGAAAGGGTTCGATCGTTTATCAAGCGCCCAGGGTGGGGACAGTTGTTCTGCTGGCGTGTCCGTCCTGAGTGCTGTCTGTTCATGCGTGTGTGTTGCCATCTGTTTCAGTCGTCACTGTTGAGTGCTGTGCTGGGGGAGCTGCCCCCGAGCCAGGGGCTGGTCAGCGTGCACGGGAGGATCGCGTATGTTTCTCAGCAGCCCTGGGTGTTTTCAGGAACTCTGAGGAGTAATATTCTATTTGGGAAGAAATATGAAAAAGAACGATATGAAAAAGTAATAAAGGCTTGTGCTTTGAAAAAGGTGAGTCATAACTTTTGAGTTATATATACTCAAACTTCAAATGAAGATAGTGTTGGTTTAAACTACAAGGTTTGTTAAAAGATCCTTTAATGTTGTTTAATGCTTTTAAGCTGGTCTTCTGGGTGGACATGTACACACGAATGCTACTGTTTGAATTCTGATGTGGTAATGACGCTCACAGAATGCCTTTTTGGGGGAGGGCACTGTTTCACTTTGTGAAGTTTCATTCACTTTTACCTTCTTTTTTTAATGCACAATTACAAAAATTTGTAAAAACAGCACAGTTTAATGAACTCTCAGTTACCCATCCCCAGCTTCAGCCAGGATCGGCTCATGGCCAGTCTTGCTGCATCTCTACCCCTGCCCACTGCCAGCCCAACTCCCACCCCAAATTATTCTGAAGCAGATCCTAGACCTCAGATTAGTTTATGTGTAAACATTTCACTAGTTTTCTCTAAAAGACCTTTGGAAAAAAGTTACCACATTATTACACCTGAAAAGTAACCTGAATTTCCTGAATATCATCAATGTTCTCGTCAGTGTTTACATGTTGTTAATCATCTCACTGGGAAATTTCTTTAACCATTGCCTTGAATCAGGCTCCACATAAGGTCTGCCCCCTGCACTTGGTTGATGTCTCCTTGGTCCCTTTTCATTCTCTAGGCTTCCCTCTCCGCTTTGCTTTTTTTTTTTTTTTTTTTTTTTTTTTTTTTTTGCGGAGCACAGGCTCCGGACTCGCAGGCTCAGCGGCCATGGCTCACAGGCCCCGCCGCTCCATGGCATGCGGGATCCTCCCAGACCGGGGCACGAACCCGTGTCCCCTGCAACGGCAGGCGGACTCTCAACCACTGTGCCACCAGGGAAGCCCTCCGCTTCGCTTTTGACTTGTAATTTATTATTTAAAGAAAAAGTAATGCTTTAACATTTCTTCTTAATACGGCCTATTTTCAGTGGGGAAGAGATTGTTTTCAGAAATGGCATTGAACTTCATAGAAAATGGAAAATGAAACATTTCTCTGTACATGGGGATTTAAATGAAATTAGTGAATCAGTTATGCAAACTGAACTTAGCTAGTAGGATAATATAATTTAGTGAAACAAAAGAAAAATGTAAATACTGATAAATACTATGTTATTCTCTTTGGTTATAAAAATCTGAATAATGGCGTTAAAGAGCTCTCCCCGGGGTCTGGTCAGAGCAGTCTGAACATCGTGTTGTTCTTTTATACTGTGAGGAAAAGGCTGGGACAGGTTTTCAAAGGTGTGGTGTTAAAGGCCTATGTGGAAATAGTTACTCTGCTTGAACAATGGCTTAAACATCATAGACTGTGTTAGATGAGTAGCATTTGATGATGTTCTGGACACAGCACAATTGTTTGCTTGTTTAATGGGCTTCTGTTTCCTTCTCGTGAGTTATGGTTAATGGGAGGTTTTTCGTTTACAGAAATGAAGTAAAGTTGACAGTAATGAGGTAGATTTAAAAATAAAAGATATACGAAAAGGGGAAATGCAAATGTAAGGCAGTAAGAAAAATAGCTCTCATTTATTCAGAGTCCATGTGGAAGTCATTTTTCTGTTTGTCACTCACATGCAAGCACACATAACAAGGTGTGTGAGTTATTAATCTTTTACAAGGATCTTTGATGTTACCATCCATCCATCTATAACCATTTTATAGTTAGTAAAACTGAGGCTTGAGAGATGGAATGGCTCACCTCTACATTTGCAGCTCAGGTTTAAGACCCAAGGGGGTCAATGCTTTGCCCCAGCCCCCTGGGGTGATGGGATCAGTAACTCGGACCGTGTTCTGGGGCTTCACCCACCCTCGGGTGTCCCTGCGGCACAGACTCTGGTGGGAAGGGGCCCCTGTGGGATTGGGCTGCACAGTGATTCTTCTGTATGTGATGTGAGGTTTATAAACACGGACTGCTCTCCTGTTGTGCTGCGTGGTCGGGACATAGAGTTGGGGCCCCTCGTGCCCATTCCCTCCTTGGCAGGAAGGGAGGCCCAGGGCAGAGGAGTGGAGGGCGGAGTCCTGGCCCCGGCCTCGTCACTTGCCTGCTGTCACTTTGGACACGTCCTGTTTCCTGCCTGGGCCTCTGACGTTTCTGCAGCAAAATGAGGGCGTTGGGTCAGAGGGTTTCCAAGAGGTTTTGCTGCTGCTCTGAAATGGAATCCATGTGTCAATGAATGGGCATAAGACCGTTACAGGTAATATTGGTGTCGTGGAATTATTTTGACCTGTAGATACAGAGACTGCATGTGTAGTAGGGGAAAAAAGTGTGGTCTTTGGAAAGAAATGGTCCTGAGTAATAATCTCAGGTGTTTCTCTGTTTCCTTTTTATAAAATGAGGGGGAGGTATGGGTTTGTTGTAAAGAAAAAGGCAATGTTTGTAAAATTCAAACCTGCCAGGTTTTCAGTAAATATGTACATAGAAACAAAAATAATAAAGATTTCTTTTTATGGGTGGTTCCCATGAAATAGGAAAAGGCAGCATTTCTATTATTACATATCTCAATAACTAGATGCTTTAAGTACGTGTTTAAGTTCATTGAGCCGAAAACATATCTGTAGTTAAAATATAAAGTAATCCCATTTGGCAATGTCGAATTAAGCTGATGCCATATTCAAAGTGACCCTATAGGGAGTTATACAACACAATGTAGGGAACAACCTAAAAAACGTCTGGCCTGCTGTAGGGATCGTGTTTAAACTGCAAGGCTTAGGAGATAGAAGGCGCAGGGAATGAGTTTCAGTTTCTCTATTTAGTAGGGAAAAAAATCATGTGATTTCGGCTGCGTTTCTGAACCTCACCTGGCCTCAGTTTCATCATCTTTAAAATGGAAATCATAGTGCTATCGGCCAAATGGATTTAAAGCTGTGATGAAAGGCGAAAGTTTTACGTTGTTCGACTCTGGAACCCAGCCCTCCTCTGCCAGGGCCTCATGTCAGGTCCCCGTTAAATATTTTAACAGTCTGTTCCATGTTTGTACACTGAGTCTCCAGCATCCCTAAAGGGCCCTTGATGTGCTTCTGGACAGATGGCATCAAACCAGTGTCGCCATTTCCTAGTTTTCCCGTAGTTTGTATGTCTGCTTTTCATTGAAAATTGGTGAATAAGAATACCTTCCTGTCAGTGGGAGGAATTGTAATATATGATGAACTCAGGCTTTTCCCCTTTAACCTAATCAGAAAATGGTGGCTGGGAAATCAGCCTGACTTGGATTTTACTTCAAATCGTCTAAAATGTTTTCCCATTTGTGCCTGGTCCTTAAATAGGTTGCAGAGCTAACAGCACACTTGAAGTCCTCCTACCAGACTTGGAGAGAGAGCCTGTTTCTTATGCCCTAACTGTGGTCGAGCGGATCTAAGTGCCTTTTCTAAAACATGGTTCAGATTGCTGCACTACAGTGTGGTGCTGTTTTGAGAAGGAAACCAAAACAGCATAAAATGTAGGCATAAAAACTAGGCCGAACAGTTTGCAAGGACTGTCATCAGTGAAACAGAGGCCAAGCAAACTGTGTGTGTGTGTGTGTGTGTGTGTGTGTGTGTGTGTGTGTTGTAAGACTGGGAATGTATCTTAAAACAGCTTATTGTGTCTCAGGAAAACCAAAAGCAAGCGATGGTAGTAAAAAATTAAGGTAAAAAAAATGATGAATTTTCATAACAAGAGCAATTGCTGCCTTTCATTTGATGCTCTGCATTTAAGCTTTGAGTGTAAAGGGAACCTGTGTGTGCCTGTGTGTCTTTGTGGCTGTCAGGGAGGGTTATGATGGGGATAGTCTCTTTCTTCTCCTTGTGGTCATGTGCTTTGTGTGTCATGATTCACACTGTGCGTGGGTTTTCACTGTTGGTTTGATGAGAAAATAGGCCTCAATCACCAATAGCAAGTTACAATCCCTTCACGTCCTTATTCCATTTATGGAGGGTGTTTGTTCACTTGTTTTGATTCTCACAGGATCCTTGAGTTTAGTGATTCTTCTTTCTGAAGCACATTTCTGTAGAAGTTGAAAATGAGACTTAGGGATTTCAAAGGACTAGTTTATCATGGAGATCCCAGTGTGCCACTAGTTCTCTCCCCAGATTTGCTGAAGTTGAGACCAAGAAATGAGGGCTTCATTTGTAGAAGGGTAGTCTGTCTATCCTAGGTTGATGCCTGAGGGGTTTAGTAGAAAACAAACTCTGCAAACTCTGCTTGTCTATGCCAGGATCTGTCAGATGATAATTACAGGCAAACTAAATCTAAGCCTGCTTCACCCTCCCAACAGATCTACTCAAACCCCCTCTCAACTGAGCCCTTCTCGACCCCAGTAGTGACTCACTTTCCCTCCTTTACTCCCTATGCCCCTAAGCCGGCTTCCTTTTTCTTCTAGTCCTTAGTACTTGCACTCATGTTAATTTTCCATCTCCCATCACGGAAAGAAACTCTAGGGACTTTGTTTCCTCTTGGCTGAATTCCTTGTGCACAGAACAATGCCTGGTATATAGTCAATCCTCAATAAATGTGTGACAAAATAGCCATCAGCATAAACGCTGTGAAAAACTACAGAATGAAAAAAAATGAAAAGCCCTGAGAGGTTTTTTTTAATGTTTAAGGTTACAATTTAGTCACTATAAAATATACCCATTGCTGTTGATCAAATACTTGTATAAAGAACTGATGCTAGAAGTTTAGCATGGTAAGAGGAGAACACATTTTATGTGGGTTTTTTCTTTTTTTCTTTTTTTTTTTCTTTTTTGCGGTACGCGGGCCTCTCACTGCTGTGGCCTCTCCCGCTGCGGAGCACAGGCTCCGGACGCGCAGGCTCAGCGGCCATGGCTCACGGGCCCAGCCGCTCCGCGGCACGTGGGATCTTCCCGGACCGGGGCACGAACCCGCGTCCCCTGCATCGGCAGGCGGACTCCTAACCACGGCGCCACCAGGGAAGCCCGAGAACACATTTGAAATCTTTCTCTTTTTCCCCTTTTCTGTCTCCATGTAGGATTTACAGCTTTTGGAGGATGGAGACCTAACTGTGATAGGAGACCGGGGAACCACGCTGAGTGGAGGCCAGAAAGCCCGGGTCAACCTCGCAAGGTAAATGGCGTTTCAGTTGCCTTCCTGCCCCTCCCTCCTCCATGGCGCTTAGTGGAAGTGAGCTCGCAGACCCCGCTCACCGGGTGGGCCCTGTGTGAAGCATGGTCTTGGCCCTTTTCCATGGGCTCTTGGAATGAATGATGATTTGTTGGACACCATCTTGATTCAAAGATGGGACACAGGAAGCTTGAGGCGTTCTTCTCCTGACATCTCTCCACGTTTCCTAGAGCCGTGTATCAGGATGCAGACATCTACCTCCTGGACGATCCGCTCAGTGCAGTAGATGCAGAAGTGAGCAGGCACCTGTTCGAACTGTGAGTTTGCTCCTGTTTTCCATCATTTCTGCTTTCCAAGAACCCTGTAGAGATCAGGCTGAAATCCTGACTTTCACTTTGAGTTTCTGGAATTTGTTGTCAGTGGCTCTTGTTTGGCCACGGAACCCCTGAAGCAGAACAGCTCTGATGCTTTTCTGTGTATAATGTGTCCTAACCCACGCTGACTGAGGCGTCTACGGAGTCTAGACTGGCCTCTTCGAAAGCCTCGTGAACTTGCTTTTTCTGAAACGGCGCCCACGTCTACCCCACGGTTAGTTACCTTGCTGTCGTTCACCTTGTTAAAGCCCACGAGCCCTTCCAGCTGCACTTATTAAAGCCCTGCTGTGTGCACTGAGATCCATGCCCTTACAGATGTTGTTGCACAAAACCTCTTAGTTTACAAAGGAGAACAGTGAGCCAGGAGAGGGGAAGGACCCACACGGGGCAGAATAAGGGAGACTAAGACGTTCAGCTCTCGTTTCTGCCTCTAAGGAATCTGTGTCTGTGGAGCTTGTTAAGACAGATGCCTGGGAAGAGGTCAGCAGAATCGCGGTTTAGAGGGTTTGTTTATAGGATGGTAAATGCTAAATGGAAGTAGAAGTGGGCAGCTATGGGCTTTCAGGTGAAGTTGGAAAGCTCCCTGTGCACTGGCCTTAGCGGGAAGTGCCCTGTGGGTTTGCAGGCTGGAAGGGTTTGTGGAGGCTGAGGATAGGATTCAGTTCCTTTTGCTAAATAGGAAGATTAGAAGCAAAGGTGGACACTGAGAATAGGATTCCGCTTCTTTTGCTTAATGGGAAGAAGCAAGGCTGTGAGAACAACAGCAGGCACGTCCTTGACTGGAGGATGCACGTTGTATGGCAGAGAGAAGCAATTTGAAATTTTCGCCATCAGTTCCTCTTAGTTTGCTAGGGCTCTGTCTGTCCAGGCTGCTCTCACAGGAGACCATAGACTGAGCAGCTAAGAAATAACAGAAATTTATCTCTCATAGTTCTGGAAGCTGGGAAAGCCCATGGTCAAGGCGCTGTTAGATTTGGTGTCTGGTGAGGGCCCGAGACCTGTGTCTTCACATGGCAGAAGGGGTGAGGGAGCCGTTTGGGTTCCTTATATAGGGACACTAATCCCATTCATGCAGGCTCTGCCTTCATGACCTAATCACCTCCCAACAGCCCCATATCCAGTACCTTCACTATAGGGATTAGGTTTCAGCGTATGAATTTTGAGGAAAAAAACAGTCTATAGCAGCCTGTTAAATGGTGAAGGCTGGAAGGTCAAGATCAAGGTGTGGGAAGGTTTGGTTGCTGCGGAAACCTCTCTCCCTGACTTCCGATGGCATCCTCCTCGCCGTGTCCTCTCGCTGTGCCCTCACGTGGTCTGTTCTCTGTCCATGTGCCCTGCTGTTAGGAGTTGGGCTCCTCTGTTTCTTTTTTTTTTTTGCGGTACGTGGGCCTCTCACTGCTGTGGCCTCTCCCATTGCGGAGCACAGGCTCCGGTCACGCAGGCTCAGCGGCCATGGCTCACGGGCCCAGCTGCTCCGCGGCACGTGGGATCTTCCCAGACCGGGGCACGAACCCGTGTCCCTGCATCGGCAGGCAGACTCCCAACCACTGCGCCACCAGGGAAGCCCGGGCCCCTCTGTTTCTGAGGACCGCAGTCAGATTGGATTAGGCCCAGCGTAATTAAGGGTAAGAATTATTTCTTTAAAAGCCCTGTCACCAGATACTAAGGTACTGGCAAATAATGTGTCAACATGAATTTTGGGGGGGAAAAACTTCATTCACTGCAAGTCCTAAGTAGCATAGTAAAGAGGTTTTCGCAGAGTCAGCAGTGTGAGAGAGAGAGACGGGTGAGGCAGCCCTGAGCTCTGGATACTGGGAGCTGGGATTCCACGTCCACTAAGCAGGGGTCATTGGCGGGTTCCACCAAAGTCTGTATGTAACTTGTGCTTAGTTTTGGGGTGGTGAAAGAGCTCTGGAGATTGATGGTGGTGATGGCTGCACGAGAGTGTGAATGTACTGAATGCTACTGAGCTGTATGCTTAAAAATAGTTGAAATGGTAAATTTTACGTTATGTATATTTTACCACAATAAAAAAAGTGCACAAGTTAGCATTGAATCTTTCAGAACACGAGAGGGCAGCCGACACGTGGCATGGCCTCCAGCTCTCTGGTCTGACCCCCTTTTCCCACCCTCTCCTCATCGTGACTTGATGAATTTTCCCTTAGAGAAGTGTCTGTGGCTTGTCATGGGTTCAGTGAAAGGGCGCTAGTGCTGTGACAGAGGTTCCCACCCCCCATCCTCCTGGCATCTCGGGCAGTTCAGCCTCCCTGTTCCCAGGGTGCTTTACCACAGAAGTTCTCCCAAGTTCTTGTTCTAACAGAGGCAGTATTTATAGCTGTTGGGTTTAATGACCTTGGATGTACACTTGATAGAAGCAAGCTTGTTCAGACTGTTGTTTGCTAATCAGAACCACATTCTCTGGGCAAACTTAGGGCAGGGAGCACGAATGCAATTTAGGAAATCACTCAGCAGCAACTGGAGAATGTTCTCAACGAGTTAGAAAATTGGATGGAACAGTACGCTCTGAAAGATGGTGGTCGTGTTAAAGCTTAGTAATGGGGAGTGTTTTGTATTAAAAGTGAACGAATCTCACTTCTACCTGCCACTAACAGTTTCCCTTAGTCATGAATCTATAGCCAAGGTTATTAAGGTTTGTGAGTTTTCCAACTATACGTTGTAAACCTTAAGTGGATTCTCTCACCTGCAGAAGGTTAGAGCCTTAGGTGAACTGATGCAGTCTCACCTGTGTCCAGCTGTGGATCCCGTTTTGGTTCAGAGAGCCCCACATCGCCAGACCCCCCGGCTCCCGCGTCACCAGCTCTTCAGGCCTGTCCTGGTCAGATGCCCACGCTGCTGTCCACACACACAGTTCGCCCTTTCCGCTCCAGCCCTTCACAGACCCCCCGACGGGCCCTTTCTCACACCTGTCTGTCTGTAGATACTGCTCCCTCTGTGCCAGAGCCCCTGCCTTTCCCTCCTGTTCCTTCAGGGGGAGCCTGTGCCCTTCTGTCTTCCCACAGCCCTCGGTGGATTGCACTTGACCATTTATCAGTCCTCCCCACCCGCTATGAGCTGTGAATGCATGAAGACGCCTTAGCAGGGCATGTTCTGTCCCAGGACACTTGGACCTGCTGTGCCTTCTTCTAGGGACGTTTCCCCAGATAGGCTCCCGTGTCACCCCCATCTAAGACAGCAGCCCCCCTTGCTTTTCCTTCAGAGCACACATCACGGCCCGATAGTGCATTTTCTAAACTCGTTCAGTGTGTCCCTCTGTTCAGGGTGCCGAGTAGTGTCTGCTTTCTTCACCTGTGGATGTATGCTCGACAGTTAAGACTGTGCCTGGTATCTCACCAAAGCCTGAGGAATGAATGAATGTAGATAGGTGCTCTTTTTCAGTTTTATTTGATTCACTCTGCTACAAGATGTATCCCCTGTTAACACGGCCCTTATATAGGAATATATATAGTATTATAGGATTAACACAGCCCTTATATAGGAATAATGCTTAAAGAACTCATCCCTGAATCAATTCTTTTTGTATGGTATGTCTTGGAAATCTTTACTCTTAAAAACTTGGAAGATAGATTATTTTCCTAGAGAATTGGATTAAAAGTCTTAATTAGGAATAAATTTGTAGCCATCAACTGATCACTTTATTGTAATTATTTATATTACCTTTTCTGTGATGGAATTACAGGAAGAAAACATTCTAAAACTTTTGGGTAGCTCTGTCTTGGACATGGCAGCCCATTAGATTTGATTAACGTCTGCCTTCAGTGGCTATTGACAGATAATTTTGAATTTAGGAGAAACAATTCCATTAAAAGCTTTAGTGCTAAGTCTGAAAAGGTGTTTACTTGGTCAAGAAATTTAGTACAAAAATCTGAACTAAGACATGTCAAAAGGTAAAAATAAGTCCGTTTGGACATAATGGAGCAACGGTGTATGTGTCTACGTCCTGAGCCTTGCTTCTGATCACAGACCCAGTGTCCAGCGTGTCCCCTTAGGACTTTTCTGTCCTGAGTCCAGAGCACATGACCGCTCGTGGGTTAGGAGGAGTGCAGGCGGGGCTGACGTGTACTGAGCGGATTGGTGGTTTGATTTCTCAGAACATGTGGGTGAGTTGTCATTGGCCTCGTTTTGAGATGAAGACACTGAGGTTTAGTAACTTGTCCGATGCTGTCGGGCTCGTGAGAGGGATTGAGCTGCAGTCTGCTGCCTCCAGACTCTGCATCTGGTTCACTCAGCAGGCTGAGCTGTGGCCCAGGTCGCTGAGATTTGCTCTGTGAGGGGCTCAGGCACCCAGAGTACATGCCTGGAGCCCTGCCTGTGGTCACCGGGGCCCTGGATGCGGCTACTAGCTTCCCCAGAGGGGTTGTAGACCCCTCTGGGATGAGCCTGGGGCTGAGTCCCCAGGGGTCTGCATTTAAAATGTGGAGCAGTCTGAGGGGTTACTGTAAAAAAAAAACACACTGAAGTTTGAACACTTGAGGGGATTTTGGCTAAGAGAATTGGCGTGGGTTGGGCCACTGGATAGTATTTCCACTGTGATGTGGACCATTTGGACTCTCATCTTTCATTTTCACATTCAGAAAGTTTTCAGTGCGAATGAAATAAGATTTACTTCCGGGATGAGACTGGGAGTGTTGTAGAGACTGATCAAGGCCATGATAGCATTTGTTTTCAATCTAATGTTATTTGGGAAGAAATGTCTACAAAATGCAGTCTGGCTAAGGTTACTGAGAAGCTGTGACTTGTTTAGGGGGGTTAATATGTACATCGTAAACAGTCACCTCGGAAACTGTCTATGAAAATGTGTACATTTTTCTATGACATAGATCACTGTTCTCCCATTCTCCACATAGGTATAAAATAATTAGTATTTTAATTCAGTCAACTTTTGGAATCTTGGTTTTGCTCCATTGTTTTTCATTGTGAACTATGTAAATAATTGTTAAGATCAGTTTTAGGAAAAACAACTTAGCAGTTGGTGCCTCTTTCACCGGACTGCTTCTCAGAATTTTTTAGTGGAGCTAGATTCAAACTTGCTGCTGATTTGAGGACCTAGTTGAATTGATTGATTTACATTTGTATTTAATTTGTATTCATACTGGTATTTGAAGTAGAGAACTTTGACTGCTGTCTTGTCTTTTTCTCAATATGTTTTCAAATTCTCTGTTTCCAATTTGGAGCACCTCCACTAATGTGCTTTTGCATGCTGTACCTTTTACATTTGTAGGTGTATTTGTCAAGCCTTGTATCAGAAGATCACAATCCTAGTGACACATCAGTTGCAGTACCTAAAAGCTGCAGGTCAGATTCTGATACTGAAAGATGTAAGTAATTTCTAAAAGTCTGTGGAAATTGCTAGCACTTAGTTGTGTTGAAGGCCAGCCCTCCCTGCAGGTCACTCTCCTTGGATTCTTCGTAAACGCCCTTTTCTGCCTCAGTTTAATGACCCCCTTTTCTCAGAGCTGGTATCCATGGCTTTGAGGATGAATCCAAAGACCTTAGAAATATCACTGTTACACTCTAAGCCGCATAAGCCCTGAACTGTGTAAAAGTGCTACTGCAGAGTTGCTGAATTATCAGTGTTGTTGTGAAAATTGTTAAGGATAATGATGCTATTTGATTTAGAACTTTTTATTTTCCCCTTCCACAACCTAAATCAAAGTGTATTATTTGGAAATTAGAGATACTGAGACATGTTTTTATCCACCTGTTTGTTATACAGTTTGCCTAAAGAACATCTTTCATTAATACCAAAATGGGTAACCGAGCACCCCCAGTTAGGATGCCCACTCTGCTGGTTTACCCAGTTGCTTTGTCTCAGTGCTTAGATCTTTTTATGTGTCTGATACGTGTGAGATCGTGCGCAGCAGTAGGACAAAGCCTTGCCTTCCCAGGGCTCCCGTTCTTATGGGGACAGATGTGATGAAAGAGGGGGTGGGGCTGATATCCTGGCTTCCTCCCTGAGGAGCTGGTGCCTCTTGGGCCTGAGTGACATGAAGTTGCGGGCCATCCAGGCACCTGGGGGAGGGGGGTCCTAAGGAAGGAGCTGAGCTGGCAGGTTGGAGGAATGGCAGGAAGGCCAGCGTGTCTGAGGAGAGAGAGCAGGGAGCCGTGGAGGGCGCTGGTCTCTGAGCAGTGGGCGGTGGGCCAGGAAGTGGGATGGAAGCCACTGGACAGTCCAGAGCAGGGGAGTGATGTGGTCTGAGGTGGGATTTAAAAGATTCCTCCGATGTTCGCTGGACGGGCAACAGCAGAAACAGAAGTCTTGGTATTGTTGAGAAGATTCTAAAGCTGCCATAACAAAGTACTGAAGACTAGGTGGCTTAAAACAACAGAAATATATCTTCTCACTGTTCTGGAGGCTGCAAGTCCCAAATCAAGGTGCTGGCCGGGCCGTGCGCTCCCTGAAGGCTCTAGGGGAGAATCCTCCCTTCCAGCTTCTGGGGTTCACCGGCCTTCCTTGTGGTTCCTTGGCTTACAGCTGCAGGACTGTAGTCTCTGTCTCTGATGTCACATGGCCATTGTCCTCGTGTCTGTCTTAGGCTCTTCTCTTCTCATAAGGACATCAGTTGTATTGGATTTAAGGCATCCCTACTGCAGTATGACGTCATCTTTCCTTCATTACGTGTGCAAAGAAGCTGTATCCAAATAAGGTCATGTTCAGAGGTGTCATGTTTAGGGCTTGAACATATCTTTTTTGGGGGGCCACCATTCATTGCATGCACAACAACTCACGTGTTTGGGGGTTGAGTGGAGATTATTGAGAATTTTGCCGAGTTAGTGGTTGTTTTATGCTTCACTCCTTATTTGCCTGTGTTCCTCAGCACTTCCATCGTGAACCCTTTTCTGTCCCAATAAGCCCTCACTTATGAAATGAATTTCTGCCATAAGAAAGAGTATTAAAATGCAGATCCTCTATTCCTCCCTAAATCGGGGGCTCAGGTTCTTCCAACTTGAGGATAATCAATTTCATATGCAGAGACATGATGCTAGTGTGGTAAAGCTCCAGCATCAGCAGTGTTATGAGCACAGAATCGGTGATTGTCAGAGTAACCTGAATGACCAGAATAACGGGTTTGTGGATGTTTCAGGGCCCCCTTATTGCTTGTTCTGAGGAGACCACCCTCAGCTTTTTAGTACTGTCAGAACAAGCAGTTATCCGCTGGTGAGCACCCTTGGGTGAGTTGGGGTCCATCCTTACTGTTTGTCTGGTCCCTCTCTCACAGTAGTGAAGGGGTGACTGCCTCCCCGTCCCTTCAGAATTATCAACGTTTGGCTGCAGAGTAAAATTGCTTTCTTTGTACCACTAGTCATTTCCCTGTGCATCTTACAGAGAACTAAGTAGAAAGTTGTTAATTTCCTTAAAGACGGTGTATGCATTTTGCTTCCCAAGTGGAGTAAGACACAATATATCCTGAATAACTTTCTAGTTCTGCAGTGTCAGTTGGTACCCAAAGGCTTCACTGGGTTTCCCCCAGTGGCCCGCCTCAGGGGATAGGGTGAGCGGGGTACCAGCTGGGTACCTTCTTCCACCTGTCTTGCCTTCACCAGAGCTGCCCTCCTTTGTTTAGTTTTTTTTTTTTATTCTCTCGTTTTAAAATTAGTTATATATGTATAAACTTTTTATTTAATATTGGAGTATAGACAGTAAACAATGTTGTGATTGTTTCAGGTGCACAGCAAAGGGACTCAGCCATACTGCCTTCACCAGAGCTGCCCTCCTTTGTTTAGTTTTGCATCCTGGGATTTTCCATATTTTGTTTGCAACTGAATGAATCAGCATCTTCTGCACATTAGTTTATATAACTTTGTAAGTGAGGGAAACTGTGCAATGATGTGTCACATGTGTTCAAAGAAAATTATTAGACTGGCTACAGTTGAAGCAGTTGCCTGATTTGGGGAAGACTGGCTGCTTGTGATTGGTTGTTTGTTCCTAAGTTCTTTCTCAGACTAAAGTGCATTGGTTCTGGCTGAGGTTTTCATTTGTGGCGTGGGGTACCAAGGCATTAGAGCCATCCTAGTCTTAGGGCCTCCTTGTTTAGCTACTTTATCAGGTGGAATATTGAATTTTCTAACTTCTGTGTTTGTGGGGAGGTTGTAAAGACCATGAAGACGCTGTGCATGGGTTCTCTCAATTCTCATGTTGTCTAAACAGACTATATTGGTACTCCCACCAACATCTGTGCTTTTTGCTTCCCTGAAAATGCCCGTGATAGTTACGTCAGTGGTCTGCATTTTAAATTCAGGATCACACATTTCTTTCATATCCCCCAGTACCTAACGCAGGGTGTGGCAGAGAACAGAATGCTCAGTTCAGTTGAACTGAACTGGATTTGTTAACCAGAATTTCAGATACAAGGATCATTTTTTTTTAACAAAAATCATACTTTAAGATTAATTTACTTCTCTTGATTAGTATTTACAGTATATTAGTATTATCAAATGCAAATGCATTCCTTTCAAATTCTTTATTGCTATTTTAGGGAGAAATGGTGCAAAAGGGGACTTACACTGAGTTCCTGAAATCAGGGATAGATTTTGGTTCCATTTTAAAGAAGGAGAATGAGGAGACTGAGCCATCTACAGTTCCAGGAACTCCAACTCTGAGGAATCGCACCTTTTCCGAGTCCTCAGTTTGGTCTCAACAGTCTTCCAGACCCTCGTTGAAAGATGCCGCTCCAGAGGACCAAGATGTGAGTGTGTCATCCTGCAGCATGTCCTGGTCTGTCCGCTCTCAGTGGACTCGTGGACCTTCAGTCTGCTCCGCTCGTGACATCTTCGTTTGTCCCAAAGTAGATCCTAAGTTGCCTGGCCTTACTCCGTGGAATTGGTAGAATTAAAAGAGCATGCAGGGAGCAAGCCTGATGAGGGTTCTTCTTTGGGTGTAGGGTCGAGAATCTTATGGACTCCAGGAGTGGGTGTGCTGCTGTGAATTCCGGGTTTCATGTGAGATTGACCTTAGGGTTCTTCTTTGGGTGTAGGGTCGAGAGTCTTATGGACTCCAGGAGTGGGTGTGCTGCTGTGAATTCCGGGTTGCATGTGATACTGACATTAGAATTCTTCATGTTACCATAGTTAAATCGACTTGCTCTGGTAGACCCGGGCTTGCCTTATTCATCCAGAGGCTTAATTTGGAGAACCCCTCATACCCGGCCTGCTATGACTTACATTCAATCAGCTACTTTTCCTACGTGTTGGAAGGTTCTGGCAGTGCAGGTGACTGGTGGTATTTTTCCCCGTTGTCAGATGGCCTGTGATAGGCCAAAGGTAGCATGTCCAAAGGACCTGACACATAGTAGACACTTTGGAGTTAGTTCTTGTCTTTCTTCCTTATCTTTCAAGACCGAGAACCACACCTTTTCCACCTTGCATTTCCAGTGGCCAGCATAGAGCCCAGGGCATCCATAGCCCATGTGACTCTATGATGTATTCTAAGTCCTCCAGACAGAAATGCAGAAATGCACTAGATCTCCGTTAGAAACATGCACAGGTATTCCTCTATATCCAATCCCTCACTATCCAAACCCGGGAGCCTGGATGATTCTGGTAAGTATTCAGATTAGTCACTCACATTCCAAACTCAGGAATCCCTCTCTGAAATTCAGGAACCAAATAGATTTGGATCATATGCTGTTCCCCTGCTATCCAAACTCACATGTCTCCAGCTCACAGTGTGAACTCAGTTTATTCTATTTAACTAATATTTTGAACCCACACTTTGTTTTATGTTTCTATAATTGAGTGACACAAATAAACTAAAGGGATACTTTAGCTACATAACATTTTGTATAATTATTTTGGAAAAAGCTTCTGCATTTATACTTTAATCAGTTATGTTGTAAGTGGGCTATCAATCATGGTGTTCTAATTTAAGCAAAGGTACCCAAGAACATTGTGCAAATGGTATTCCTTATCTCTAATAGATTCCTAGAAGTACCATGGTTGGGTAAATGCATACATGGTTTGGCTAGATATTTCCACACCTTTCTCTGTAGGAGGTGGACCATCTTGCACGCTCCTATCAGCATATAAGTTGTGTCTCTTTCCCCACAGCTTTGCAGTGGAGGTCATTGTTGAACTTTTAAAATTTTAGGGTTCATTATTTATATTTTTGTCTCTCGCTGCCTTTCCTTTCCAGACTGAGAATATACAGGTTACACTATCTGAGGAGAGCCGTTTGGAAGGAAAAGTTGGTTTTAAGGCCTACAAAAATTACTTCACAGCCGGTGCTCACTGGCTTATCATCATTTTCCTTATTCCAGTAAACATCGCAGCTCAGGTAAGTAAGGACATTTATTTTAATTTGTGCCCTAAGGTTGATACTTATAATACTCTTTATACTGCATTATTTATTTTACAGTATTATTATTTTTAATATGTGTATTAAGGGATTTATTTCAGAAAACTGACTACGTGAGATTGTGGGATCTAGCTGGGTGAATCTGAAATCAGAAAGGCAGGAATGTGGGCTGGAACCCCACCCAGGCAGGAGCTGACCCTGCAGTTTTGAGGCAGAATTTCTTCCTTCTCCAGGAAGCCTCAGGTATTGCTCTTAAGGCCTTCGTCTGACTGCAGAAGGCCCATCACACTGTCCAGGGCAATGTTCTTTACTTAAGTTCTGACGATAGATGTGAACCACATCTACAAAATACCTTAACAGCAATATCTAGATGAGAGTTTCGTTGAGTCACTGGAGACTGGGCTAGCCAAGCTGACACAGAAAACTGACCATCACAGTACCTGTCAAGCTTTTTTGCTTTGAAAAATCCTGACATTTATACAATTATTAACTGTATTTTGCAGTCCACTAGGATTTGCACTGAAAAGCGTTAATATGTGCAGAGCAAAATAAGTGAGGCTTACTGGGTGTTGTGTGTCCGTGACAGAGAGATTCTAGGAAAAATATGAAGTCTTTTAAAGATTTTAAAATGTATTATGCCCTTCCCTGACCTGTGGTTATCTGGGATGCGGGGCTTACCCCTGACCTGAGCTGGAAGGACCGTCTCCGTTCTCTGGAGGCTTTCCATCACCCATTCTAGTGAGTGGGGTTTTGAGACGGTCAGTAATGTCAGTGTTTGAGTGATTGTTGTTTCCTGCTCCAGGTTGCCTATGTCCTTCAGGATTGGTGGCTTTCATACTGGTGAGTGATTCCTGGTCTGACCCAAAGTGCTAAAAAATCAACACGAATCCTCAGTTTCCCACACAGTCATGGCGGGGGGATGGGGCTTGTTCAGCCTCCTCTTCTGATCCGCGCGTAGTTTCCCTGAAGAAAAGTTAAAGTTCCTGCTGGTGGGTGTGACCCTCCCATGGTCTCTCCTGATGTCTGACCCTTAGCAGGTTCCTTACAGACAATTTTGAGAACTGTAAGTCATGATTCAAATTGAATTTTTATAAGGTAGACAGACACAGGGCCTTGTGAGCTGGGAAACATTTTCCAGCATAAAACATGACTCCTAAATCAAGGTTAATTTTTTTTTGTATTTACCTAATTCCATCTATTGCATAATGTTTTTTCTTCCCTGTTCCATAGGGCGAATGAACAGAGTGCCCTGAATATCACTGTTAATGGACAAGGAAATGTAACTGAAAAACTCGATTTATACCGGTACTTAGGAATTTACTCAGGTAAAATTGAATCATCTGGTCTATTATACGAGAGTCTGAGGTGCTTACTATGAGCCTGTGTGAGCAACTAGGGCTTCCAGGAGTAATTCAGTAAATAATGTCTTAACAGATTAAGAGTCTGAGTCACATTTATTCTGTGAATTAATTAGAATAATTATTTTTAAAATCTACTAGAAGAGAGAGGTTGAATGAAAACTCTTAATTTGCTCTGTACTGGATTTTGGAAGTTAAACCAGGATTGCACATTCAGAAAACCAGCCACTGGAAATGTGTGGCTATTGTCTATTCTAATAGGTTGCTTTAGCTAAATCTTATATCATTATATGGATGGGCAAGAGGATTAGAAACGGATCCCCACCCTATGGTTCGGATTGTTCCAATTCTTTCTGAATAAACCTTGGCTTTTATGGACCTTGGATGAAATCCTCTGGCAGCAAGGGCCCCCAAATAAAAGCATTATTCCCTTGTAGGTATGCAAAACTCCCCTTCGCCACATTGCTCATCTCTTGGGCTTCACTAATTACTTAAGAGAGAAGCTAAGCAGGGAGAAATCCAGTGTCTGGGAATTAGGATTCTTACTTTGAGATCACAATGTTATCGTGTCCGCAACTGTGCGATTAATTTAGCTTCTGGCTTGCCAGGCTAATATTAACATGACTGTCTGTTTTCACAAGAGTGCCTAGAATATATGTAGCATTACATACTTTTAAAAGGAAATCCTCATCTAAAATTTTAAATATTCCCACAGGAAATACTCACACAAGCCTTCTGCAAAGATAGAGTGAGTTATCTTTGTAAGGACATACTCACTGAAATTTTGTGTGTATTTCGTTGATCTCTTACTAAGAAATCTAAGTCCTTTAGCTGTTTACCTTCTGAATTGGTGGACTATGGGGGCTTAAAGGAAGAAGGAAGGGATTTTGTTATACATTCGTATAGGATGGTGGGCTAAGGAAAGTGCCTATTGACGGAATCCAGGAATTTGAGCGGTTTTCAGGGTTTAAATAAGTGTTCTGTTTTCTAAAGGGAAAAAAGTTCTTGATGGAATATTTATTACAGAAGTTATTCTATTTAGCATTGTGAATTCAAAAGATGTTAGGGGAGGGTATTTTAATTTTTATGTGCATAGTAAGTACTCATATCACTAACAAACCGGAATTTAAATGATGATTATTTATAATTTGTATTTTTCTTACAATTCAGTTAGTTAGAATTAGATTTTCTGCTTGAAAATTAATGTGGTATTGTCACATTCTTTAAAGCTACTTGGGCTTTGTCTACAAGGAAATGGTAGTAAATCATTTCTCCTGTTACCTGTTAATTCACATGCTGTTACCAAAGCATATCACAATATTAGACTGAGACATGTCGTAATTAGTAAGATTTCAGATGCGAAGCAGGGACCATCAGCTACTTTTTAAAATTATCTTTCTTCTGAGTTTTTAGTAGAATGTATAATTGAATTAGGAAATCCTTGAATGAAATTTTATTTTACATTTGATGTTTTTCCCCATGAGGTTTCTATTTAATGAGAGGAATACCATGATTTTTATATTCTTCTTTGTAAATGTACCTTGTGAATGCATTAAACTCTTTTAGAATCCAGATGCTTAATGGAATAAAGTATTTACATAATATCTTTATAAGCTGTGTGGCATGGTTTAGCATCCTTGATGAAAAGGCAGAGATCTTCTGCTGAGTGGTTTCTCTATTTCAGGGTTAACTGTATCTGCCGTCCTTTTTGGCATCGCCAGATCTCTGTTGGTTTTCTACGTCCTTGTTAGTTCTTCACAAACTTTGCACAACCAAATGTTCGAGTCCATTTTGAGAGCTCCAGTATTGTTCTTTGATAGAAACCCAACAGGTAAGTCTGACACCAAGTTTCTCAGTAAATATGTCTTGTTATCGTACTTAATGCCTGATTACGTTTGATATTTGAGATGCTTGGAAGAAATTCACTGTGCATGTTGATCCATTTTCTACAAAAAGCTTTGCTGCTATTTTTCGCCTACGAGAGGATATCTGAATATAGAGGCATATACGCTTTTATTCCAATTTATGTGTGTGTGTGGAAAGATAAGTGTATGCTCACTTTGCAGAATGATTTAGGACCCAATTTGTTGTGTGGCAGTTGAAACACCCTACATTTGATGCAAATATATTTAAATATTTTTGGCTAGTTGCTAAAATATTGGCTGTGTTATATTCTGTTAAGGTAGGTTGTCTGCTAGAACCTTCTTATAATGAATCTCTACACGACAGGCTGTGTGTTTCTTTCTTTCATTTCCCATCCGCTTGTGGAATCACAGAGCTCTGGCATGTGCCGTGACTATGAGGTTTACCTAGAATGGTAATGAAAAATTAATTAAAACCCAAGATTAGTGAAATGTAAACATCCTTTTAAATAAAATTAACTGTGTAATTTACATTGGACTTTTGGTGACATGTAAGGGGCTTTGTGGTACATAGCAGGTGGATCCTCAGGACTAAGTTTTTGGATATGAGTGTCCCTGGAGGTTTATCAGTGGTCGCTTCCTTCACCCTCAGGCCTTCGACCTGTCTTGCTCCTGACCTGGGCTCCTATGAAGAATTTGTTTATCAGCATACATGCCCTCTCTGTCCACTTGGTCCGACTTGTGGAGAGGCCCAGGGTGGCTTTGTTTTTGCAGGCAATGATTGACAGTACCTTTCAAGGCAGGGATGTGGGCTGGAGGGAGGACAGGAGTAGCCTTGGCCTGGCCATCAACTAGCCATGTGACCAAGGCCAAAGCAGATACATACTGCTGAGCAGGCGAATCTCAAGGCAGGATGTTGTCTGCCTTGCTGTAAACGTATGGAGTCTGGAGCCAGCTGCCTGGGTTCAGTTCTGGTGCTAGTTACTAATACTAATCGTCCATTAACGTGATATTAGTATTTATGTGTTGGTTATTTAATTTCTCTGTGTCTCAGTTTTATCTGTAAAATGGGGGTGCTATTCACGCACTCATTAACATATTGATACTGTTAGAATTAATTAGGTTAATACATTCACAGCGCTTAGCATTCGGTCAGTGCCTAATGAACCTTAGTGACTATGAATACATGGTATCTGGGAACTTCGTCTCTTGTGAAATGGGAATAACTGCTACCCCTCCTGTTTCACAAGACTGTCGTTAGGATTCAGGAAGACTGTTCAGGATGGCAGATGTGTTGTGCAGATTTATTCAGCACACGTTGTTTAGTCCGGGCACTGTGCAGAGCACAGGACGGTAAACAGCAGAGGCCCACACAGATCTTGTCTTTTTATGTCATCATAATGCAAAAGTGATTGGAGGATTATGTGCTATTATGGCTGTGAAGTTGCTTCAATTTGTCAGTTAATGTGAAAACTACAGCCATAAAGTTGGGAGCATTAAGTGGGACTGGATGTCTGTTATCACAGCCTCTGAGTGCTGGTGACCACAGTTAACCAGGCTCTTCATGTGCAAGACCTGTAGGCTTCTTCAGACGCTGGTTTATTTGTTATTCAAGGATTTTTGACCACGTTTAAATCTGAGGTCTCTAATCTTAGAGCAGCTGGCATGCTCGTGTTTATCTTGCCTCCCCCTCCTGTATGTATTAGCAGGACTTCATTCCTTCAGGAAAATAGAAGCCCAAATAAGTACTACAAACATAGGCCTAGTTTGCCCAAAAGGTGTAGGGGCCAAGAATTATTTATTTACTCTTTTAGTGGTAGATGAAAACTTTTTTTAATTAAAAATTTTAAGTGATCGAATTTAATTTTCTCTTTGGATAAAAATTTTGTACTTTTTACAGTTGGAAAAAGTAAAAATTCTTACATGGGTAAGAATTATGCCTCTTAGTTGACATTATTGATTGTGTGTAACCTAATAATTATATAATATTTTTAAAAATTCCCCTCTACAGTAGAGAGATGGACATGCTTGACTCTTAAGTTGCATTAAATATCTGCATTTAATGCATCCAAGTTCCCAGCATAAAGTTGTGGCCCCTGAGTTCCAGAGTATGTTCTCCAAGTAGCATGGAGAGATCAGGAAGCATATCCTTCCATTGTCAGAGCACACTCTCCGGGAGACCCCAGGGGTGAGTAAGTTTCCTGTGAGTTCAGGATACTGACAGCCTCCCGGAGTTAGAAAAGGGAGGGAGAGAAAGGACTTTGGCTGGTGTGTAGAGTTGGCATGGTGACTGATGGAAGCTGGAAACTCCAGGCAGAGGCCCATGGGATCTGCCCCATCCCCAGTCTGGCTGGGATTTGCAAGCAGCTCGCCAGAGTTCCCTTCTTTATACTTGTCTCCAGTGCCCACTTGTGCCAGTGGATTCTCAATGACCCTGAACTGGATTGTCACTATGCCTTTTATACATTCATCCATTGGGGAATGCTCCAGATGTCCTGTCTCCCTTCTCATGCTTCATCTCAGATCCTCATGAACTTTGTTAGACACTCAGGTACTCTGCACTTATGCTAAGAACCAGGTCTCCAGGGGAAGTTCCTGAAACCCGGGTTGTCCTACCAAAGTCCCAAATTCACTTACTTGTATTTTAAGAAGGAGGGCAGAGTCAACCTGGCAAGTGTGCGGTTCTTCTGTGTAGCATAGTTTCTCTGCCTGCAGTTTAACATTCCAGGAAGCTGATTTTAAAGAGGGTTCCATCCCTCTAAGCTCCGGTGGCTATGTTACTCTCCATTTTGAATCCTTGTATTGGGTGCATGAAGTTTACTTACTTTGTTTATATAATTTGATACCTCATTACCTACTGGTCTTTCATAATCTGTTCCTTAGAATGGCAAAAGCAATGTTTCTTTTTTCTCTTTTCTTCTTACCTTCCCATTATCTCACCGATCTCTCTGCTATGCTTTCTTCCTTTGATGTATTTTAGTAATGGTATTGTGTGTGTTTATTAAAGTGCCACACATTTCCAGGGGCCCCGACATTTCTTACACGATTTGATTGCAGCTGGATTTGAATAGTATAGTGCCTTTGCAGATGTGGGCTGTGTCCCTGTGCTGTTTGCTGCGTCCACCTCTTCCTAGCCAATCTTTATCTTTTATCACTGAAGCTGCATTTCAGTTGTATCAGATCTTCATACACAGGTAATGCAAATCTCAGGTCAACAGTAAATCAGTTAGAAATTTAGAGATCATTACTATTTTGAATCCAAATTGTGTTTCTGTTGAACAGGCAGAAATTGTTTTATTTTCTACATCTGGCACAAGAGGGCAGTATGATCTACATTATTTCAGGGATATAATGTAAGGGGCACCTTATTGCAAAATCTTTTTTATATTAAAGATTTCTTGGAAATTCCATTTTTATGCCTTGATTCTTTGTATTTTGTAGTATTGATACAGAATTTTAAAAACTGTTGTTTATTATGTGTGAAACAGTAAACTCTTGTCCTGAAATATCTAGCATTTCAAACAAGGTATTTAGATCTCTCTTTTTTTTTTTTTTTAATAACAAGTTTGGTTGTTGTTGTTGTTTTTTTTTTTTTTTGGCTGCACAGTGCGGCATGCAGGATCTTAGTTCCCCTACCAGGGATCGAACCTGCCCTCCTAGAAGTGGAAGCACAGAGTCTTAACCACTGGACTGCCAGGGATTTCTTAGTTTATATGTTGTACCCTAGTAACTGGAATAGACTGCTGCTGACTTTTTCTTTTTTTTTTTGGCTCCTTTGGTTTCTGTGTGCCGGCTTTCTTTAGTTGCGGCTAGCAGGGGCTATTCTTAGTCGTGGTGCGCAGGCTTCTCATTGCGGTGGCTTCTCCTGTTGCGGAACATGGGCTCCAAGTGTGCCGGCTTCAGTAGTTGTGGCACGCGGGCTCTAGAGCGCAGGCTCAGTAGTTGTGGTGCACGGGCTTAGCTGCTCCGCGGCAGCTGGGATGGGATCTTCCCGGACCAGGGATCGAACCCACGTCGCCTGCATTGGCAGCCGGATTCTTAACCACTGCACCACCCAGAAAACCCCGCTGCTGACGTCTTGACTGGATATATTTTAATTTCTGAAGGGTAGAATATGGTCAGTTGTAGGACCTGAATCAAACATGAGTTTTGCAAGAAATATGACCACACGGTTTCTTCATTTTCATCCATGCCATCAGAGTCAGCAGAAATATTTTATTCTTATCAAGTGTCTAGAATTTCACCCTTTGTTTTGGAGAAAAGATGAGAAGATAGTTGTCCTGCTTTTTCATGCCTAATCCTTGTGACAAAACACTTGGCTGAGTGCTTGGAGTGTAATGGATTCCTGATAAATAATTGTTTATTTTCTGTCAGTTTGTTAATTTGGCTCTAAGAAACTGTGCCACCGGCGTCGCTAGGTGTTGTGTTTCTTCTCTTATGGAAACGCGAAGTTAATTGGATTGTGGCCAGTATGTTCATTTCACGCGACTTATTTCTCTGCAGTGTGCGCACACGTGTTAGTTCACTTATTTATGCATTCAGTGTAAAAAGAAAGGTACAAATGTATATCTTTAGTTTTTCTTTACAGATCAAGTTAAGTTAGAGCTAACGCATTTATCAAAAGAGATAAAGTACTAATTTCTTTTGTTCTTTTTATTCTTCTGGTAGCACTACAGTTTAAGAGAAGACATATTCTTTTATCTTCTGTAATCAGAACTCTAGAATTGCCCTAAGGATTAATATTTCCAACTTGACTGAGTGGGAAATGAGGCTCTGCAGATTTCACGCATGTAAAATACCCTGAATTAGGATGTGCATCATGTAGGAATTGAGGGTTGGAGCAAGGAGGAGGGTAGTGGAGGTTTGAACTATTGCCCTTTCTTTAACCTGGAAAGGGAGTCCTTAGCCTTCACTACAAGTTGCTGATGAACTTGTGAAGAAGTGAAAAGTGATTTGAAAGCAACGTGGT